TGAAAAAGAACCTATCTAGAAGTTTGGGGCTTTTTGCCCGTGAATCTTCACTTTGCGACTAAACTATTCACAGCAGTGCCAAATTTTCTGGGTCATTGAATGCGGGTACCAGCGCCCTACAAGGAAACCAAAAATCAACCCAATGCGACCACTGAAATTACAGCTGGTTCATGTTATAGAGAGGTACGTTGAAATTGAAAGGTCAGCACAAATGGTCAAAATCCGACATTTTCTCACCTTTCTGCCCGTTCGCAGCTCAGAACATGACAATGACCATCCTCATCTCATTATATAGCTGGACATAGACAAGAGCACCAAGAAAAAGACCCACATTTCTCTAAAGAACTCGCCCAGGGCTGCTGAAAGCTGAAAAAGAACCTATCTAGAAGTTTGGGGCTTTTTACCTGTGAATCTTCACTTTGCGACTAAACTATTCCCAGCAGTGCCAAATTTTTAGGGTCACTGAATGCGGGTGCCAGCGCCCTACAAGCAAACCAAAAATGAAACCAATGCGACCACTGAAATTACAGCTGGGTCATGTTATAGAGAGGTACGTTGAAATTGAAAGGTCAGCACAAATGGTCAAAATCCGACATTTTCTCACCTTTCTGCCCGTTCGCAGCTCAGAAAATGACAATGACCATCCTCATCTCGTTGTGTAGCTGGACATAGAAAATAGCACCATGAAAAAGAGCCACATTTCTCTAAAGAACTCGCCCAGGGCTGCTGAAAGCTGAAAAAGAACCTATCTAGAAGTTTGGGGCTTTTTGCCCGTGAATCTTCACTTTGCGACTAAACTATTCACAGCAGTGCCAAATTTTCTGGGTCATTGAATGCGGGTACCAGCGCCCTACAAGGAAACCAAAAATCAACCCAATGCGACCACTGAAATTACAGCTGGTTCATGTTATAGAGAGGTACGTTGAAATTGAAAGGTCAGCACAAATGGTCAAAATCCGACATTTTCTCACCTTTCTGCCCGTTCGCAGCTCAGAACATGACAATGACCATCCTCATCTCATTGTATAGCTGGACATAGACAAGAGCACCAAGAAAAAGACCCACATTTCTCTAAAGAACTCGCCCAGGGCTGCTGAAAGCTGAAAAAGAACCTATCTAGAAGTTTGGGGCTTTTTACCTGTGAATCTTCACTTTGCGACTAAACTATTCACAGCAGTGCCAAATTTTTAGGGTCACTGAATGCGGGTGCCAGCGCCCTACAAGCAAACCAAAAATGAAACCAATGCGACCACTGAAATTACAGCTGGGTCATGTTATAGAGAGGTACGTTGAAATTGAAAGGTCAGCACAAATGGTCAAAATCAGACATTTTCTCACCTTTCTGCCCGTTCGCAGCTCAGAAAATGACAATGACCATCCTCATCTCGTTGTATAGCTGGACATAGACAAGAGAACCAAGAAAAAGACCCACATTTCTCTAAAGAACTCGCCCAGGGCTGCTGAAAGCTGAAAAAGAACCTATCTAGAAGTTTGGGGCTTTTTGCCCGTGAATCTTCACTTTGCGACTAAACTATTCACAGCAGTGCCAAATTTTCTGGGTCATTGAATGCGGGTACCAGCGCCCTACAAGGAAACCAAAAATCAACCTAATGCGACCACTGAAATTACAGCTGGTTCATGTTATAGAGAGGTACGTTGAAATTGAAAGGTCAGCACAAATGGTCAAAATCCGACATTTTCTCACCTTTCTGCCCGTTCGCAGCTCAGAACATGACAATGACCATCCTCATCTCATTGTATAGCTGGACATAGACAAGAGCACCAAGAAAAAGACCCACATTTCTCTAAAGAACTCGCCCAGGGCTGCTGAAAGCTGAAAAAGAACCTATCTAGAAGTTTGGGGCTTTTTACCTGTGAATCTTCACTTTGCGACTAAACTATTCACAGCAGTGCCAAATTTTTAGGGTCACTGAATGCGGGTGCCAGCGCCCTACAAGCAAACCAAAAATGAAACCAATGCGACCACTGAAAATACAGCTGGGTCATGTTATAGAGAGGTACGTTGAAATTGAAAGGTCAGCACAAATGGTCAAAATCCGACATTTTCTCACCTTTCTGCCCGTTCGCAGCTCAGAAAATGACAATGACCATCCTCATCTCGTTGTGTAGCTGGACATAGAAAATAGCACCATGAAAAAGACCCACATTTCTCTAAAGAACTCGCCCAGGGCTGCTGAAAGCTGAAAAAGAACCTATCTAGAAGTTTGGGGCTTTTTACCCGTGAATCTTCACTTTGCGACTAAACTATTCACAGCAGTGCCAAATTTTCTGGGTCACTGAATGCGGGTGCCAGCGGCTTAAAAGCAAACCAAAAATGAACCAATGCGACCACTGAAATTACAGCTGGGTCATGTTATAGAGAGGTACGTTGAAATTGAAAGGTCAGCACAAATGGTCAAAATCCGACATTTTCTCACCTTTCTTCCCGTTCGCAGCTCAGAAAATGACAATGACCATCCTCATCTCGTTGTATAGCTGGACATAGACAAGAGCACCAAGAAAAAGACCCACATTTCTCTAAAGAACTCGCCCAGGGCTGCTGAAAGCTGAAAAAGAACCTATCTAGAAGTTTGGGGCTTTTTGCCCCTGAATCTTCACTTTGCGACTAAACTATTCACAGCAGTGCCAAATTTTCTGGGTCATTGAATGCGGGTACCAGCGCCCTATAAGGAAACCAAAAATCAACCCAATGCGACCACTGAAATTACAGCTGGTTCATGTTATAGAGAGGTACGTTGAAATTGAAAGGTCAGCACAAATGGTCAAAATCCGACATTTTCTCACCTTTCTGCCCGTTCGCAGCTCAGAACATGACAATGACCATCCTCATCTCATTGTATAGCTGGACATAGACAAGAGCACCAAGAAAAAGACCCACATTTCTCTAAAGAACTCGCCCAGGGCTGCTGAAAGCTGAAAAAGAACCTATCTAGAAGTTTGGGGCTTTTTACCTGTGAATCTTCACTTTGCGACTAAACTATTCACAGCAGTGCCAAATTTTTAGGGTCACTGAATGCGGGTGCCAGCGCCCTACAAGCAAACCAAAAATGAAACCAATGCGACCACTGAAATTACAGCTGGGTCATGTTATAGAGAGGTACGTTGAAATTGAAAGGTCAGCACAAATGGTCAAAATCAGACATTTTCTCACCTTTCTGCCCGTTCGCAGCTCAGAAAATGACAATGACCATCCTCATCTCGTTGTGTAGCTGGACATAGAAAATAGCACCATGAAAAAGAGCCACATTTCTCTAAAGAACTCACCCAGGGCTGCTGAAAGCTGAAAAATAACCTATCTAGAAGTTTGGGGCTTTTTACCCGTGAATCTTCACTTTGCGACTAAACTATTAACAGCAGTGCCAACTTTTTAGGGTCACTGATTGTGGGTGCTAGCGCCCTACAAGCAAACCAAATATGAAACCAATGCGACCGCTGACATTACAGCTGGGTCATGTTATAGAGAGGTACGTTGAAATTAAAAGGTCAGCACAAATGGTCAAAATTTTCTCACCTTTCCGCCCAATCGCAGCTCAGAAAATGACAATGACCATCCTCATCTCGTTGTGTAGCTGGACATAGACAAGGGCACCATGAAAAATAGTCACATTTCTCTAAAGAACTCACCCAGGGCTACTGAAAGCTGAAAAAGAACCTATCTAGAAGTTTGGGGCTTTTTACCCGTGAATCTTCACTTTGCGACTAAACAATTCACAGCAGTGCCAACTCTTCTGGGTCACTGAATGCGGGTGCCAGCGCCCTATAAGCAAACCAAAAATGAAACCAATGCGACAACTGAAATTACAGCTGGGTCATGTTATAGAGAGGTACGTTGAAATTGAAAGGTCAGCACAAATGGTCAAAATCAGACATTTTCTCACCTTTCTGCCCGTTCGCAGCTCAGAAAATGACAATGACCATCCTCATCTTGTTGTGTAGCTGGACATAGAAAAAAGCACCATGAAAAAGAGCCATATTTCTCCAAAGAACTCACCCAGGGCTGCTGAAAGCTGAAAAAGAACCTATCTAGAAGTTTGGGCCTTTTTACCCGTGAATCTTCACTTTGCGACTAAACTATTCACAGCAGTGCCAAATTTTCTGGGTCACTGAATGCGAATACCAGCGCCCTACAAGCAAACCAAAACTGAAACCAATGCGACCACTGAAAATACAGCTGGGTCATGTTATAGAGAGGTACGTTGAAATTGAAAGGTCAGCACAAATGGTCAAAATCCGACATTTTCTTACCTTTCTGCCCGTTCGCAGCTCAGAAAATGACAATGACCATCCTCATCTCGTTGTGTAGCTGGACATAGACAAGAGCACCAAGAAAAAGACCCACATTTCTCTAAAGAACTCGCCCAGGGCTGCTGAAAGCTGAAAAAGAACCTATCTAGAAGTTTGGGGCTTTTTACCCGTGAATCTTCACTTTGCGACTAAAATATTCACAGCAGTGCCAACTTTTCTGGGTCACTGAATGCGGGTGCCAGCGCCCTACAAGCAAACCAAAAATCAAACCAATGCGACCACTGAAATTACAGCTGGGTCATGTTATAGAGAGGTACGTTGAAATTGAAAGGTCAGCACAAATGGTCAAAATCCGACATTTTCTCACCTTTCTGCCCGTTCGCAGCTCAGAAAATGACAATGACCATCCTCATCTTGTTGTGTAGCTGGACATAGAAAAAAGCACCATGAAAAAGAGCCACATTTCTCCAAAGAACTCACCCAGGGCTGCTGAAAGCTGAAAAAGAACCTATCTAGAAGTTTGGGGCTTTTTACCCGTGAATCTTCACTTTGCGACTAAACTATTCACAGCAGTGCCAAATTTTCTGGGTCACTGAATGCGAATGCCAGCGCCCTACAAGCAAACCAAAAATGAAACCAATGCGACCACTGAAAATACAGCTGGGTCATGTTATAGAGAGGTACGTTGAAATTGAAAGGTCAGCACAAATGGTCAAAATCCGACATTTTCTCACCTTTCTGCCCGTTCGCAGCTCAGAAAATGACAATGACCATCCTCATCTCGTTGTGTAGCTTTACATACACAAGAGCACCAAGAAAAATACCCACATTTCTCTAAAGAACTCGCCCAGGGCTGCTGAAAGCTGAAAAAGAACCTATCTAGAAGTTTGGGGCTTTTTACCCGTGAATCTTCACTTTGCGACTAAAATATTCACAGCAGTGCCAACTTTTCTGGGTCACTGAATGCGGGTGCCAGCGCCCTACAAGCAAACCAAAAATCAAACCAATGCGACCACTGAAAATACAGCTGGGTCATGTTATAGAGAGGTACGTTGAAATTGAAAGGTCAGCACAAATGGTCAAAATCCGACATTTTCTCACCTTTCTGCCCGTTCGCAGCTCAGAAAATGACAATGACCATCCTCATCTCGTTGTGTAGCTGGACATAGAAAATAGCACCATGAAAAAGAGCCACATTTCTCTAAAGAACTCACCCAGGGCTGCTGAAAGCTGAAAAATAACCTATCTAGAAGTTTGGGGCTTTTTACCCGTGAATCTTCACTTTGCGACTAAACTATTCACAGCAGTGCCAAATTTTCTGGGTCACTGAATGCGGGTGCCAGCGTTCTACAAGCAAACCAAAAATCAAACCAATGCGACCACTGAAAATACAGCTGGGTCATGTTATAGAGAGGTACGTTGAAATTGAAAGGTCAGCACAAATGGTCAAAATCCGACATTTTCTCACCTTTCTGCCCGTTCGCAGCTCAGAAAATGACAATGACCATCCTCATCTCGTTGTGTAGCTGGACATAGACAAGAGCACCAAGAAAAAGACCCACATTTCTCTAAAGTACTCGCCCAGGGCTGCTGAAAGCTGAAAAAGAACCTATCTAGAAGTTTGGGGCTTTTTACCCGTGAATCTTCACTTTGCGACTAAAATATTCACAGCAGTGCCAACTTTTCTGGGTCACTGAATGCGGGTGCCAGCGCCCTACAAGCAAACCAAAAATCAAACCAATGCGACCACTGAAATTACAGCTGGGTCATGTTATAGAGAGGTACGTTGAAATTGAAAGGTCAGCACAAATGGTCAAAATCCGACATTTTCTCACCTTTCTGCCCGTTCGCAGCTCAGAAAATGACAATGACCATCCTCATCTTGTTGTGTAGCTGGACATAGAAAAAAGCACCATGAAAAAGAGCCATATTTCTCCAAAGAACTTACCCAGGGCTGCTGAAAGCTGAAAAAGAACCTATCTAGAAGTTTGGGGCTTTTTACCCGTGAATCTTCACTTTGCGACTAAACTATTCACAGCAGTGCCAAATTTTCTGGGTCACTGAATGCGAATACCAGCGCCCTACAACCAAACCAAAACTGAAACCAATGCGACCACTGAAAATACAGCTGGGTCATGTTATAGAGAGGTACGTTGAAATTGAAAGGTCAGCACAAATGGTCAAAATCCGACATTTTCTTACCTTTCTGCCCGTTCGCAGCTCAGAAAATGACAATGACCATCCTCATCTCGTTGTGTAGCTGGACATAGACAAGAGCACCAAGAAAAAGACCCACATTTCTCTAAAGAACTCGCCCAGGGCTGCTGAAAGCTGAAAAAGAACCTATCTAGAAGTTTGGGGCTTTTTACCCGTGAATCTTCACTTTGCGACTAAAATATTCACAGCAGTGCCAACTTTTCTGGGTCACTGAATGCGGGTGCCAGCGCCCTACAAGCAAACCAAAAATCAAACCAATGCGACCACTGAAATTACAGCTGGGTCATGTTATAGAGAGGTACGTTGAAATTGAAAGGTCAGCACAAATGGTCAAAATCCGACATTTTCTCACCTTTCTGCCTGTTCGCAGCTCAGAAAATGACAATGACCATCCTCATCTTGTTGTGTAGCTGGACATAGAAAAAAGCACCATGAAAAAGAGCCATATTTCTCCAAAGAACTCACCCAGGGCTGCTGAAAGCTGAAAAAGAACCTATCTAGAAGTTTGGGGTTTTTACCCGTGAATCTTCACTTTGCGACTAAACTATTCACAGCAGTGCCAAATTTTCTGGGTCACTGAATGCGAATACCAGCGCCCTACAAGCAAACCAAAACTGAAACCAATGCGACCACTGAAAATACAGCTGGGTCATGTTATAGAGAGGTACGTTGAAATTGAAAGGTCAGCACAAATGGTCAAAATCCGACATTTTCTTACCTTTCTGCCCGTTCGCAGCTCAGAAAATGACAATGACCATCCTCATCTCGTTGTGTAGCTGGACATAGACAAGAGCACCAAGAAAAAGACCCACATTTCTCTAAAGAACTCGCCCAGGGCTGCTGAAAGCTGAAAAAGAACCTATCTAGAAGTTTGGGGCTTTTTACCCGTGAATCTTCACTTTGCGACTAAAATATTCACAGCAGTGCCAACTTTTCTGGGTCACTGAATGCGGGTGCCAGCGCCCTACAAGCAAACCAAAAATGAAACCAATGCGACCACTGAAAATACAGCTGGGTCATGTTATAGAGAGGTACGTTGAAATTGAAAGGTCAGCACAAATGGTCAAAATCCGACATTTTCTCACCTTTCTGCCCGTTCGCAGCTCAGAAAATGACAATGACCATCCTCATCTCGTTGTGTAGCTGGACATAGACAAGAGCACCAAGAAAAATACCCACATTTCTCTAAAGAACTCGCCCAGGGCTGCTGAAAGCTGAAAAAGAACCTATCTAGAAGTTTGGGGCTTTTTACCCGTGAATCTTCACTTTGCGACTAAAATATTCACAGCAGTGCCAACTTTTCTGGGTCACTGAATGCGGGTGCCAGCGCCCTACAAGCAAACCAAAAATCAAACCAATGCGACCACTGAAATTACAGCTGGGTCATGTTATAGAGAGGTACGTTGAAATTGAAAGGTCAGCACAAATGGTCAAAATCCGACATTTTCTCACCTTTCTGCTAGTTCGCAGCTCAGAAAATGACAATGACCATCCTCATCTCGTTGTGTAGCTGGACATAGAAAATAGGACCATGAAAAAGAGCCACATTTCTCTAAAGAACTCGCCCAGGGCTGCTGAAAGCTGAAAAAGAACCTATCTAGAAGTTTGGGGCTTTTTACCCGTGAATCTTCACTTTGCGACTAAACTATTCACAGCAGTGCCAAATTTTCTGGGTCACTGAATGCGGGTGCCAGCGCCCTACAAGCAAACCAAAAATCAAACCAATGCGACCACTGAAAATACAGCTGGGTCATGTTATAGAGAGGTACGTTGAAATTGAAAGGTCAGCACAAATGGTCAAAATCCGACATTTTCTCACCTTTCTGCCCGTTCGCAGCTCGGATAATGACAATGACCATCCTCATCTCGTTGTGTAGCTGGACATAGACAAGAGCACCAAGAAAAAGACCCACATTTCTCTAAAGAACTCGCCCAGGGCTGCTGAAAGCTGAAAAAGAACCTATCTAGAAGTTTGGGGCTTTTTACCCGTGAATCTTCACTTTGCGACTAAAATATTCACAGCAGTGCCAACTTTTCTGGGTCACTGAATGCGGGTGCCAGCGCCCTACAAGCAAACCAAAAATGAAACCAATGCGACCACTGAAAATACAGCTGGGTCATGTTATAGAGAGGTACGTTGAAATTGAAAGGTCAGCACAAATGGTGAAAATCCGACATTTTCTCACCTTTCTGCCCGTTCGCAGCTCAGAAAATGACAATGACCATCCTCATCTCGTTGTGTAGCTGGACATAGACAAGAGCACCAAGAAAAATACCCACATTTCTCTAAAGAACTCGCCCAGGGCTGCTGAAAGCTGAAAAAGAACCTATCTAGAAGTTTGGGGCTTTTTACCCGTGAATCTTCACTTTGCGACTAAAATATTCACAGCAGTGCCAACTTTTCTGGGTCACTGAATGCGGGTGCCAGCGCCCTACAAGCAAACCAAAAATCAAACCAATGCGACCACTGAAATTACAGCTGGGTCATGTTATAGAGAGGTACGTTGAAATTGAAAGGTCAGCACAAATGGTCAAAATCCGACATTTTCTCACCTTTCTGCTAGTTCGCAGCTCAGAAAATGACAATGACCATCCTCATCTCGTTGTGTAGCTGGACATAGAAAATAGGACCATGAAAAAGAGCCACATTTCTCTAAAGAACTCGCCCAGGGCTGCTGAAAGCTGAAAAAGAACCTATCTAGAAGTTTGGGGCTTTTTACCCGTGAATCTTCACTTTGCGACTAAACTATTCACAGCAGTGCCAAATTTTCTGGGTCACTGAATGCGAATGCCAGCGCCCTACAAGCAAACCAAAAATGAAACCAATGCGACCACTGAAAATACAGCTGGGTCATGTTATAGAGAGGTACGTTGAAATTGAAAGGTCAGCACAAATGGTCAAAATCCGACATTTTCTCACCTTTCTGCCCGTTCGCAGCTCAGAAAATGACAATGACCATCCTCATCTCGTTGTGTAGCTGGACATAGACAAGAGCACCAATAAAAATACCCACATTTCTCTAAAGAACTCGCCCAGGGCTGCTGAAAGCTGAAAAAGAACCTATCTAGAAGTTTGGGGCTTTTTACCCGTGAATCTTCACTTTGCGACTAAAATATTCACAGCAGTGCCAAATTTTCTGGGTCACTGAATGCGGGTGCCAGCGCCCTACAAGCAAACCAAAAATCAAACCAATGCGACCACTGAAATTACAGCTGGGTCATGTTATAGAGAGGTACGTTGAAATTGAAAGGTCAGCACAAATGGTCAAAATCCGACATTTTCTCACCTTTCTGCCCGTTCGCAGCTCAGAAAATGACAATGACCATCCTCATCTTGTTGTGTAGCTGGACATAGAAAAAGCACCATGAAAAAGAGCCACATTTCTCCAAAGAACTCACCCAGGGCTGCTGAAAGCTGAAAAAGAACCTCTCTAGAAATTTGGGGCTTTTTACCCGTGAATCTTCACTTTGCGACTAAACTATTCACAGCAGTGCCAAATTTTCTGGGTCACTGAATGCGAATGCCAGCGCCCTACAAGCAAACCAAAAATGAAACCAATGCGACCACTGAAAAT